GATTTAACATTCAGTCGATAAACATATGGATAACTGAAGTACTCTTTTGTCACTTCTATTCCTCCGTAGAATAGCACTGAAAGACATAACACTTTCACCAATAGTTTTAATTTTGTCCAAAATATTACTTGTTTTGTAAATTTATATATTAACTGAATTATTTTCAAACTTAATTGACTAATAAATTTAATAAAGTTTAAACTTGTAATAAATATATAAACAAATTTTACATTTAAATAACTAAATAAAATTTTAAACTTATCTCGAAATGCTAACATAACCTCCATATCTGTGAAGTAATGATATAAATGATCTAAAATAACTTATCAATTTCACTTAATCTAATTAAATATTATTTATAACGGTATATACTATTGATTTTTTAATTGTTTTTCGTAATATTTTCATTGTACATAACAATTATATTAAACTTATCCCAAAATATAAATATACAATCCCTTGGTAAATAAATACTGATTAATATTTTTATCATTATTACAGATAATTATTTATAATAAAAGATTTGATTAAAATAATATTAAAACCACACCCATTAGATTGATAGTAAACAAATCAAATATTTAATATCGATATAAAATTAATTTATTCATTATCATTATCTGATTAATTATACTAGTACAGTTTACACTTAAATATAATATATAAATAACATTTATAAAAGTGCATAAAAGTTAAAATACTATTAAATCTAAAATAACAAAGAAATAATCAAAAAATTAAACTTAAATATTAAGCATTAAATAAGTTTATTAAGTATTTCATTCTAGACCAAAGTAGATTAATAAAAATTGAACTACCTGACCAACCTAGCCAACCATGCCCTACCATTACCTAAAACCAAGTCCTCACCTAAATTATATACAACCTAAAACTATGCCATATAATACTATTTTTTTCTATGATTATAATGTAATTATAATAATTAAAAATTTGAAACAAATGTAATTAAAAGTCAATTACTTGTTGGCAGTGAAAGTCCATATGATTTGCGTTCAATGTTATGATCGCATTGACTGCGAAAACTCATTGAAGTCTCGCGCATTCAGTCATCAGCTGTATCTCCAATACGAGTCAATACACGTGGCATTCATTGACGCCATTATCACCGAAAGTCATGTCCAACAGACGGCAGTCGATATCAAAGGCTGAGGACGTGGCCGATGAGGTGAGTGCTCAACGCGAGCGCCTATATCTCACACTTGATTCCCCGATCTCTTGTTTGTGTCCACCACTGGATCAGGTGTTTCGTCGGTCAAAGGCTATCCTACCGACGATCGCCCGCTGGTGTCTGGTCTCCACATTCATCGAGGATGGACTCCACATATGTCTTCGGTGGTCACAGGGGAGGAACTACATGGACAAGAGGTGGGGCCACGAATTGGCCCCACTTTTTGTCTCAATCAATATGTTGTCCCAATTGATCGCATCCGGGCTCGTGTTGACCCGCTATCACGTGACCATTGCGTGCGGCCTACTCTTCTGCGTTGTTGGACTTCAGGTAACCATTCGGACAGACAGTCCCGGTTTGAGAGACAACTTATTTTCCCTATAATGTACATTCCCTATGCTTTCCCGTTTTTCCCCCGTGAGCGGAAAGGGAAGGGTATCCCTGTATACGAAATATAAATTGATTAACTTGATAAAGTATCCATATAGTGTTTCATTAAGAATAATAAAAAAAATAGCAAATAAGTGGTAACTATTGTATAAAAACAGTACTTACGGGAAATTAAAGGGAAACTACGGGAAGGGAATCGTAATTTTAAAAGAGTTGTAAACCTATTCCCAGTGATGAGAGTATTAACTTATGGTGCTATTGGTGGCAGACATTGACGTTCGGGGCCGTATGGAACCCCTTTTATGGCCGTAGGCTCTGAGCCTATGCGGCGCTCTATTGTTGCTGTTGGCGGAGTGCCAGACGGAGGCGCCCACTCTGTTGGCCGGTGTGCCCAGCGATGGACAGAACCGACCCAAAGCTTATCTACTGTTCACCGGAAGGATACTAACGCTTCTCATATTCTTCACAAGCCTTAGCCTAGAGCTGCGAGACATGGAAAACGTGTTTCTTATCATACGAAAGGTAATAGTCTTCGTACTCGTGGTGGTCGTCACTATCGGCTATAAGACCAACTGTCGGCCCTTTTGCTGGTCGTGTAGCTCACGGGTTAGTCTCCATACGAACCGTTCATTTGAACCATTTGTGTGTTTGGCTAATGATTATTGTTTTTATTGGACCTCTTTTTCCACCCAAATAGCCGTCAATTCTTATGCCAATCCTTTTTGGACGATAGACTCAAACAAAGCAATGTTTGATCGCCAGATAAAACACTTTTTCGTTGTGCTGTCCGTCATCGGCGGCCTTTTAATGATCGTAGTCTTAGGACCGGGAGATCTGTCAGTGGATAACTACAAGAAGAACCGGTAGTCCCGCGGGAAACCCTGTTTTATGTCTACTCTAAAGTGTCAATTATTTTAAANTGTCCGTAATCGGCGGCCTTTTAATGATCGTAGTCTTAGGACCGGGAGATCTGTCAGTGGATAACTACAAGAAGAACCGGTAGTCCCGCGGGAAACCCTGTTTTATGTCTACTCTAAAGTGTCAATTATTTTAAAAGTATATTTGAATGCCATTTAATCTGATTTTCAACATAATATTATAATAAAATAGACGAACGGTTGGTTGTATAAAAGTCAAAAGTATGATATATCTTACAATACAAACATGGCTCATTATACTGTATAAACGTGTTAATTAAATTATTGATTTGTCAATTGAATTACCGGGCTCGTGTTGACCCGCTATCACGTGACCATTGCGTGCGGCCTACTCTTCTGCGTTGTTGGACTTCAGGTAACCATTCGGACAGACAGTCCCGGTTTGAGAGACAACTTATTTTCCCTATAATG